TTTTTTTTTTCACATTATCCTTTCTTATCAACTTCAATATTGATTTATTCACAATATCTAACATGCCGTGAAAAAGAACAAATTACATGTTTGATGAAGGAACTATTACCTGGAAAGAAATGTGATTATCTTTGGGATTAATCACAGTCTTCTTAGGCATACTCTTTGGATCTTCCGACTGCAATAAATGTATCCCAATTCCATGTCCGAACAGCCTATACATTCAACAAACCAAGTTTCATTTTTAAAAAATCAAAACCCACAAAATCTTTTCTTTTACCATCAAGAAATTTATTTATAATTTTTATATCAGATATACCATGCTCCATCAAACGTAAATGAGCCGGGCCTCCTCACCGGGACAAATCCAAGAACATTCTGATAAAAATGAGTCGATTCATCAACGGACTTGCACACAAGTGAGATGTGATTCAAAGAAGAAAGGTGCAATGGGTTTCCCTTGTTCTCCTTCATTTTCTGTTTCTGGTAAAGATTATTATACAGTTCAAAAATTGCAACAATTTGTTCTAAAATTTGTTGGGCGATGAATAATTTTCGCTATCTGGGGTAATAGAAGATAGAAAATCAAGCAAAGAAATGGATGACAACCTGATCCAAAAAAGAGATTCAACAAATACACCAAAAATAGAGACAGAGAGAAATTTAATACACCAAAATAGAGGAAAGGGGGAGACTTTGGGAGATAAAGACGCAAAGAACTTGAGAATTATAGAATTTGAGGTTATTAGACAGATGAGGGAGGTCTATCTTATATAAAGGTTGATAGGACCTTTGTTTTGGGTAAATTGCAACATTAGTCCCCAACCTTTTGTAAACGTAGCATTCATGTCCCCTGACCTACTATTTGTTGTACTCATATACACAATTTTTTTTCTCACTAGAGAATTTATCCTGAAAATGAAATAACTATTGAATCTATCAAAAGGGTGTTCTAGTCATTTGGCCGTGGATGATGCTTAGCAGCGATCCTCGTCGATAGAGGATTACCTTGATGTGGTGGAAGTTTCAATTCGAACTTGATTATCCATTATATATATATATTTGGAGCTTCCCTCATTTCTTTTATCGAACATTATGAAATGTCCCTCGATTCACGAAACACGTTTATTTAAATATTAAATAGTTACGTGACACTTACCTAATGTTGGATTGAAAGATAAATTTGTCAAAGAAATTAGAACAATCCAAATAGTAATTTCAATTTTCATTTAGAAATCCAAAAAATAAAATTCCTCAGCATTCATTAAACTTATCTCTTGCTTCCATGCACCTTCGACATCAAGTGAATGTTGTATGACCCTTCAACGTCATGTAAAATTTTTTATGCTCATTAAGGGCACGT